ATTTGAGACCAAATACAATCAACGTGGGTGAAGTTAAAATTGTACACGAATAAAATATTTCGTATACAATTTTCTTGAAATAAATAAATTTAAAAATTACGTATTTTATTGAAACTAATCAAAAATTCAAATTCATATTTGAATTTTAAATTTTGACATAGTTGTACATTGTAAAAAAAGTACACGCAGTAACTACATTATAGCTACCTTTTCAATGCAACAAGGTAGGTAGCTAGAGCCTGCCTTGTTGCGGGCAGCCTTGTCAAGGTAACAAGGTAGTTGCCTACCTTGTCAAGGCTACTGTTGCTGCTTGTGCAACAAGGCATGCTGCATTTGACTTTAATAATATTTTTTAAGTTTTGCATTTTTTTTTCACGAGCACGCCAGTGGGGCTCATCGAGTCATAGGGGCTGGCTAGGGCTCAAGTCGACTCTCCAAAATGGGGCTTGGCTTGAGCCTCGGCTCGATTCTACGGAGTCATAAGACGGGCTAGCTCGGGCTTTTGCCAAACCCGAGCCACGGGCCAACGAGCCAAATTACCACCCCTATTTACAACATCCCCCTTGAATGACACATTACAAAATATCTTATTGTTAAAACCTTATTTAATAAAAATTCAATGAAGGAAAAGAGTACAGTTATTTTGGAATATTAAAAATAAATGATGGCTCATTAAAACATTGTTAGGAAAATCAAGTGGGATAAAACTTGAGCGAATGAAAAAGAGTACATATATTCTCCCCGATGTTGATTACTGAAAATCTTTAAGTCGACACATTCCAATCTCTTAAATCAATTCTTGAATGTAGACGTCGGGAGTGCTTTTGTAAATAAATTAGTCACATTGTCACTTGAGCGAATTTGTTGAACATCAATGTTGCCATTCTTTTGAAATTCATGTGTATGAAAGAATTTTGGAAAAATATGATTCGTCATATCACCTTTGATATATCCTCCTTTGAATTGTGCAATACAAACTGCATGTCTTCATACAAATTGTTGGACTAGATTTTGTTGAAGTTAATCCACATGACTCTTGGACATGATGGGTCACGTTTGTCAACCATACACATTCCCTGCCTGCTTCATGAATTGTAATAATTTCAAAATAATTTGAGGATGTTGCTGTCAATGATTGTTTCACGAATCTCCATAGTATTATTGTTCCTCCATATGTAAACACGTATTATGTTTGTGATTTAACTTTATGTGGATCACAAAGATAATCTGCATGTGCATATCCTACTAAAGCAAATCTCAACTTTTGAGAATAAGATCCCAAATCAATTGTACTTTTCAGGTAACGAAAAAATGCGTTTAACACCATTTCAATCTCTTTGAGTTGGTGAAAAGCTATATCTTGTAAGGAGATATACAGAAAAATCTATGTTATGCCGAATGCAGTTTGCAAGATAAGTTGTGCTCCAATTGCAATAAGATGTGGTACTTCAAGACCAAGAACATTTATCCATCTTCAAGTGGACGGAATTGATCTTTTTCACATCAAGTGATCGAACAACCATAGGCGATGCCAATGGATATGTATTATCCACATAAAAACATTTAATACTTTTTTTTGTATATATAGATTGATGAACAAATAATCTTTTTGGAAAGTGTTCAATCTGCAATTTGAAGACAAAATTTGGTTTGTCCCAAATTTTTCATCTCAAATTCATTTTTCAAATAATCTACAGTTTTGTTCAACTTTTCAAGAGTTTCAATTAAATCTAAATTATCGACATAAATTGTCACAATTGCAAATCCAATATTTGTTTTCCCTATGAAAACACATGTGCAAATATCGTCATTTTTATGGCATTCTTTCAATAAATATTCGTTAAGGCGACTCTACCACGTGCGTTCGGATTGTTTCAATCCATATAATAAATTTTGCAATTTAATCGAGAACATGATTCTCGAGCATATATCGTTTGTTCATGACACTTTAAGTCCTTCGGGGACACATTCAAACTAAATAAAACTCTAAAAGTGATTCTTTCCATTATGAGAAAATATGTTTCTTCATAATCAACTCTTGGTCTCTTTGAGAAACCTTGAGTTAAGAGTCGGACTTTGTATCTTGTAATTTCTTTATTTTCATTTTTCTTTTGTAAAAAAACATAATTGTATCCTACAAAGATTACATTTTCAGGTGTTCAAACTATATGTCCAAACACTTTTCGTTTCTTTAAAGAATTTAATTTCACCTATATGACTTCTTTCTATTTTGATCAATCATTTCTATATGACAGTCTTTAACAGACCGTGATTCAAGATCCTCAATTTGTAAAATATCATAAGCCACATTAAAAGCGAAAATACTGTCTATGATAATATTATTTTATTCCCATAATTTATGAGATAACATATAATTAAAATCTCATTATTTTCGAACACTTGTGATTTTTCGAAAATCATATTTTCAATATTTGATTGATCAATATTTTTTAATGTTATTTTTTCTAAAATTTTTGGTTAGTTTTTCTCTTGCACTTTTCTATTTTGAGGTACAGAGTCATTTGAACCTATTGGCAGACCACGCTTCTGGTGTATTTGAGATTTATTTGCTGCAACAGATTATCCTGTATGGATATCAATTTTTACTGGAATATTTTCTGCTGCTATATATAACTTTATTACTTTTCTTATGTCAACAATATATCTGGTAATTGATTTACAACTCTTTGCAAATGAAATTGATTGTTACGAGGATTAAAGTGAAATATAATTGTTTTTTTTTTTAAAGTACATTATTTTTCAGAATATAGTTTTTCCCCTCCCAAGTTGGGAAAATCATTTCATCAAAATAATAATTTGCAAAATATATAGTAAATAAATCACCCGTTAAAGTTTCAAAATATCTAGTACTGGATGATGAATCAAAATCCACATAAATCTCAAGTTTTCGTTGGGAACCCATTCTAGTGTGTTGTGGGGGTGAAATACGAACTTGGACAACATAATAAAAAATCCGTATTTGAGAAATATTAGGTATATGACCAAATATAAGTTGCAAAGGTGAATATTGATAACATGTAGTTAACCTTATACAAACCAATGATGCAGCATGTACTATGACATGACCTCAAATAGAAGTCGGAAGTTTTGTTTTAGTGAGTAACGATCTTGCAATAAGTTGTAGACGTTTAATAAAAAACTCCGCTAAACAATTTTGTGTATGGACATGTGCAACCGAATATTCAACGACAATTTCAATTGACATACAATAATTATCGAATGCTTGTGATCTAAATTCACCAGCATTGTCAAAACAAATAGTCATGATTGAGTAATCGAGGAATTGCGCTCGTAATTTTATAATTTGAGCAAGTAGTCTAGCAAATACTACATTCCTAGTGAAAAGTAGGCAAACATGTGACCATCGATTAGAAAAATCAATTAATACCATAAAATAACGAAATGACCTACATATATCTACATGAATTCTTTCCAAAAAAGTTGAAAATTCAATATTGACATTTGTAGTCGAAGGTCTAATGATTAACTCATATTGCAAACAAACTACACATAGGTAATCATTAAATAAAAAAATCTTCTTGTTCTTTAAATGATGTCTATGTGAGTTATTGATTATTCGACATATCATTATAGTTCATGGATGTCCAATTCAATCATACTAAAGCATAAAACTTTCAAGGTAGCGAACTTCGGGTTTGTGATAATATTTAATTCAACCATTTTTTATAAATGTATAATACATGCTAAATGAGAGTCCAGGAAATTTTTCTTTTATCTGTTTCTGACCAAATACAAAAGAAGTTATGTAAAGATATTCAATGTTATTTTCTTATATCGTCTCAATGTAATGTCCATTGCAACAAATTTCTTTAAAACTAAGCAATTTTCTTCTGAATTTCCTAGAATAAAGTATTTAATCAATATATAATTTTGTATTATTTAATAAAATAATACTAGTTCTTCTGGAGCTTTCAAATATATTTTATGCACCTAATATTGTATTAATATTATTTTTTACTAATATTAAGTCCAAAAAATATTTTTTTCCTTGAAGAATAGTATGTATAGTTACACTATCAACTAAGCAAGTATCTTGACAATCCATCATGAATCTTCACTAAACTTTAAGTCATCGTGCTGATAACGTGTTGTGAAAAGAGATAAAAAAAGAAGAGAGAATAAAAATTAATAGAAAAAAACTTCAAGTACAGACAAAAAATTACAGAATATTTACAGGAATTCAAATATTGTCTCATATGGGGGTGGCCCCACATGAGTAATATATTGACAAAAATCTCACCCCATCAACCTATGTTGTAAGTTGTCTGGCAAGTACAGGATTTTAAAATCCTACACGTGTAGCATTGTTCAAATCAATAGACTTGTGTCTATTATAACGAGAACCACGACACCATATTTATAGGGAATGACTAGAGATACAATGGTAATAATTTCTAAAACTACAAAGCTACAATTGTCATTCACTAATAAATTTACCATTTACAATAATATATTATTATTCACCTNAAGCTACAATTGTCATTCACTAATAAATTTACCATTTACAATAATATATTATTATTCACCTGACTTTCGAATGTTTAAAGCTTATTTCTTCAAATTAAAAAAGCATTTAGTAAACACATAATGTACGTATTGTTCATGTAGCATTATAAATAAAATTTTGAATGGAAATTCATAATTACTTGTACATGAATGTGCATTGCAATATAGTGAAGTTTTTCTGATATTACAAGAATAAATAAATGAGTGATATCACATTACAACACCACCAGTAGATAGACGTTAACCTCCGCGCTCTTTACAATAGTCAGGCGTAAATTCCACAGGTCTTTCCACCTTATTACACGTTGCACATTCTATAATTACTACCTATTTTAAGTGAAATAACAGGAACACAAAAGTCTTCAATACATGGATTTGCCACTTGACCATGAGGGAAAAGAAACCAAGGTAGATAGAAGAGTACCTATATTACACTGAACATGAAGGGTGTGTTAGATCGATGAAGGTAGCTTCCAGAAAGTCTTTGTAGCTACAAGAATCTGCTCCCTTCCGTGTGACCCCGTTTCTTTCTCATGTATAGAAGTTTTCCATCTTATAGCACGAGCAATACGCTCTACTCTGTCAATCCCTTCTGGTGAATCACGGACCAATACTGTCCCTTCAGGACGCAAAATTCGATCAATTTCAACCATCAAATCCACAAGGTTACATCTGCAATCAAGTCAAATGGTAAATGATTAGTTATCGATTTGGTGTTAGTATCTTCATCCATATCTTCATATTTACAAACTTGTAGTCAAGACACCAAACAACTGAGGTATATCTTCTGCTACAAAAAGGGTTGCTTGCTCTTGTTTCTTTGAAGAACCAATAATGCTCCACGAACACCGCATATATTTTAGTAATAAATTCACTTGAAATGCATTTAAATTCGAAATGCATAGGTCATTTTCATGAAACATAATTTTAATAGAATTGTCGAGATCATATCCCCAGAAAATCTTCCATATTATGTGAATTCAATTGAAAAAAAAAGAAAAGAAAAGAAAAAGAAAAAAACCTATGTATGCTGAAATCCTGATGCTCAATGAACCAAGAGACTGAAGCAACTGACTGTTTTCTTTTAGTTAAGAGTTTCATGGCATATAACAAAAAAGTGCACAATATATGCTGTGACATTTCCATTATATGCGCCAAGTGAGCAATGGAGGAAATATTCAGATAGTGAAGAAATTTAGTAATTATACACATTATCATAAAAAGAATTAGCATACCTGCTCTTCCCAGAGATGGGATCCTTTATAAGAGATTCAATTGCAGCTACATGGATGAAATCGTAAGTCCGAGGATATGTTGAGAAAGGTTCACACCTGTCAGCATAAATCATAAGCATAAATATACGGTTAAAATCCAATCATACATTAATATCATGTGGGATGAGTAAATGACAGAAGCAACAAAAAATTTCTATTTATATTTCATCACCTCTAACTCTTATGCTTTAAAACATGAAACGTTAATCAGGGTATCAATTTAGAAATTATAAATAGGCTAGAGTCCAATCATGAAGAGTAATGATACTGAGTAGTTTGTTGCTGTAAAGAATAATTACAGATCCATTATTTATTCAGCAAAGAGATGACACATACTGTCTGTTAGCTATTATAGGGGAAATAATTGAAGTTTCTCAAGAAGGTTCAAACACTAAACAAGTGCTAGCAAACATGCTAGACACAAATGTTGAACTATCTACATAAAATGAAAAACAGAAGTGCTACAATCACTCACCAATCATGGTAAATTCCAATAAGACCACGGTCAAATATGACATCAAGTGTTAAAGGCTTACGAGCAGGGACAACGTTCATAACCCAAACAGGATCTGATATTAGTGCAGCAGCAAAACCACCAAAAAATGCGTTCATGTCCATGACATTTCGTACGGATGGAGTTCCTAGTCTCAAGTTTAGTGTATTTTTATAGTAAGTGACCCTTCTCAACCATCTTCGGTTGTCAGCTTCAAACACATCAATTCCATTTTTCATCACACTGGCCCTTGAAGGAGCCTTTATCAATCTCTCTGGCCATTTTGAAATTGTCCCAACTGCATATTCTCCCTTGGCAGAAGACATCCTGCTCACACATTTCTTCAACTTAAAGTACCTGAAAAAGAAAGTAGTTTGGATCCAGAAAAACTAATCATAGAAGGCCAGCTTTTATTAACAATTTGATATGAGAAGGTTAGCGCCATAGCTCAAATGCATGGAAAAGTTGCAAGAAGAATAAAACTGAAAAGGGCAATAAATAAATAAATACCAGACACCCCATGATGGGAATTACCATGCAACACTAGGGTCCTCAGATTCCTCACATAAGTCAAGCCCAAATTCATTTTGATTAAGAAGACATGCATCACCATTAGGCTTTTTCCATATGGCAGTGTTTCCATCCACTACAATGAGCTCGTAACACAAGGCTCTGGCTACTGCCTGGAGATCAGCCCATTCTTTATCTTGTTTAGGCCATTGTATGGGGGGGCCAGATATGACAAGGTAGCCTCCTGGGCGAAGTAGTCGGTCAACTTCAAGAAAATATGTTGCATCTGCAAAGTTACAAGACTTCTACGTTATGAACACATGCTGCAAATGATAAAATCTCAACCTGAGAATGACTTAAGTATCAAGAACTCACTATATGCGGTGAAAGGAATCAAGCAGCGAGAACAATGCACCAAATCAAAAGAAAAACCAGGAAATGGAAGTCTGCGAGTGCCAAGCATCCCAACAAATGCTGGTATTCCTCTTTCTAAAGCAAACTGAATTTGTGCTTTGTGTGAATCTCTCGGAGCAAAAGAAAGAGTTAAAATATCTTCAGCAAGCATGTATCCTCCAAAACTAGCAACCTATGATGGAATGGAAATCAGATATTTTTGAAGGAAAAAACAAGACCATCACCAGTTTGAACATGAACTGGCCTGAATTTCTTACCCCACATCCCATATCAAGAGCCGTTCTCAAAACTCCGCCAGTTATAGGTATATACTGTTTAAGTTTCTCAATATATGGCAGTGCTCCATCTGGGAACATTGTGCCACCACCAGGAAATATGAAATATGGGCCTTCTTTTTTCATCCATCCTTGGTGGCCTTTTCTCTCAGCAATTTTACTATATGGCATGTTATCATGCCATATCTGCATGTAGACAACGCAATTATAATAAAGTCAAAGACCCTAACACCTTTTTGACAAGAAAACAAGTCACACTCAAAACTACAAAGCCAAGTTACACCTTCAAGTGTTAAAATGATAAATTAATAGATGTTTGAGAATGGTTTGCCGAGATTTTTCCAAATAAAATAAACTTGATGTGCTCCGTACCATCAAATTATCTACTCCACCTTCTACGAAATTCCCCATTTCCTTAAGTACATAATAAACAAAGCATCACCCACCGTCCACTCATTGTTACAATTAGAATTCATGGGACACCTACAACAAATTATAAACTGGTATTGTGAAAACTGCTACAACTAATCTGGAAAATTGTAGTTACTGCTTGCTAAACAGTTTAGGTTGTATAATTAATCACGTCAATGGAGTCTGTCGATCCACTCAGTGACTAAGCTTGTGTTTGATGGTTTAAGCTCGATATTATAAATTTGATTTCTCATTAGAATTTTCAGCTAAAGAAAAATTAATAAAATAACCAAGTCTCTCCTCTTTTATTCAAAACCTACAGCATAATTATGCCCCTGTTTGAGATTTATTAAATTAAAACTCCTTTTTTCTCAAACTTATTTTCAACCACACATTTTTACAATAAAATATTTTGCACGTAAACCCAACACTTTTTCCTACTTTTTAAACTCACATTTTCCAAAGATTCATTATTCCAAAACTCATTCCCCACCCCCTCCAAAAAAAAAAAAAAAACTCAATAAAATGGATGTCAACCAAGGGCTACAGAAGGCCAAAATCAAGGTAGAAGGGTCAAATATTGCTTTCTATTGTACTATCAATGACATTTAAATTATACAAGGGGAAAAGTTGTCGAATAGATCTATAAAAAAATTGTTGGTCAAATTCTAGAATACGAATTCAGAGATAAACGACTATTTGATGCCAATACATGAAATTGCCCCATGGACAGAGTTAGTTCACAATAGATATCAAGAGGACTGAGGATTAGCACAAATGAAAAACTTGAAAAGCATCAAGATGGGCAAAACGAACATTATTTATGGAGTCAGAAACCCATGCACTTTATTTCAAAACCTAAAGCAATCTGAGTAGATAAAAATATCACGCATTGGAGCAGCCAAACTTTTAACTGTCAAGGCTTTAAATGTGTAACTAGCTCCATAAAGCAAGATTCAGTTTTTCAACTTTGACATCAGTTTTACCTAACCATTAGTTACAGATTATGTGAAAAACAACTGGTAATTGTGCCATCTACATTATATTGACTTATACGTGCTATGCCACTCGAAGATGATTCACAAACTCTGCTGCCAAAAAAGGAATGAAAAGAGAAGTACACCAAAGGGGGCTTCCACCATCACCAGGCTGAAAGCTATTTGCAACATAGCACTTGCTGATAATTTTGATAGCTAATAACCTATATTTTCACATTGAACATACAAATAGACATTTCCCAATAATTTGGCACACATACATGGACCAATTTGCTAATTCTACATCATAGTTAGCATTCCACTCATCAAACAAGCTCAAAAACTTCAATCTTCCAAATTCTCGAGTAGATTATTCTTTTCTTTTCTTCCATCCCCAAATAATAAAAAAGAAAACCACAATCCTCCCAAAAGTTCATTAAGTAAACCCCACCAATATATTTTAATAATTAACCTAATCAACAGAGTTAAGACTTAAGACAATTGAAATCAACCTTTTGCAAACTCTCCGGCCAGTGGACCGGAATGCGGTACCCATCAGGCGGGGGGACCAAGCAGAGCGGCGTCTCCTCCGGCCAGGGGCAATGCCTTTCTCTATAATAATTCATCTCCCTACTAAGCTGACTGTTCAGCCGGGGATCCTCACAGGGCATATGATCCACCATATCGGCCGGGCACGCATCTATGGACGCCGCCTGCTGCCCAAATTCAACCAGCGCCACCAGCCTCCCCCGGTTCTTCGGATCCGAACCCGATGACTTCAACAAAGTCCGCCTCCCCGAAGCCGCCAAGGAGTCCCCCAATGGGGTAAACACTAACAGGAAGAAAAGCAACACTGCCCCAAAGAAAATTGCAGTTACTATATCTAACAAACGCCATTGCTTCACATTACGCTTCGACGAAGGGAGATTCAAGTGACCCATAAGTTAATTTTTCTACTAATTAGTAACTATAGAAGAAATTCAAGATCTCAATATAAATACATGTATCTATCTGTATAGAGGCTGTGGGTTGAAGATCTGGAGTAGACTACAGTGTGAAGATCTGGAGTAGACTACAGTGTGACTAACAAGGAAATCCTCGAAGGTAGATCATTTTCTACGGAAAGTGAACGGTACAACCTTCCAATGCCTAATATCGAGTTAGTTTTTTTGGTCATTGCACTTTCAGTGAAAGTTCAGTTTGGTTACTCAACTTTAATATTTCTCCACCATACAACTCAAATTCAAAAAACTTTCTTAGTCACTCTATTAACCTCTATAACTATTATCTCAATCCTATATGAACGTTATACGAGTGTTTTACGAATGCAAGGTAAATATGCATAGCTATAATTTTTTTAAAAAAATAATGGTAATCCATTCGATGGATTATAAAATTTTATTCATCCTCAGTTTCAAGATTTTGCAATGACAGTATGATAATGTGACATACCTTAAAACGGCGCTGAAGACTTGCTTGGGTACCAAAATGAGTCTATTTAACCCATTTTCGTCGACCCTTTGTAGCAATGCCAATAACATCTACAAGAAGACCACGAAAATTCATCTATCATGTATTTTGTATGTATTAAATGTTAGTACAAACAAAATAACTAAGGAACATTGCATGGAAGTACTTGTTGTAAAGTTTTTATCGTAGAATTCTTACTTATGTTTGTGTTTTTGTCCAAATGAAGTGAGCTCGTATTTCGAAAACAAGAAGTCTAAGGGGTCGTTTTCTTCGTATTTCAGTTTTGAGTTTTGAGTTTTGAGTTTTGAATTCGATTTGTATTTTGTGTTTTGACTGTCTGTTTTAAAATTTCTGAAAATGCATTCTTTTTGCATATTTTGAAAAACTGTTTCCGAAAATATAAAAATGGAAAATGCATTTATTTTGAAATTTTGAGAATTTTTAAATAATATTTTATTTAAAAAATCTGAATTTTTTAATAAATTATAATGATTTAATGTTAATATAGTATTAAAAAACATATAAATTTTGAAATTGGTGAAACGCCAAATGTTTTTTTCCAGGTATTAAAAACACAACCTAAATTACAATTGATAAAAACAGTTCAATTGATACAATTAGAAGTTTATATGTCATAACAAAATAAGTAGATACTGAACAACATACAAAATAAATCCACGGAGTCATGTACAACGTCTTGAATTGGCATTCCACATGTGTATAACAAGTTGATCCCTAACTTGTCCCATTTGAACTGTTTGACTAGCATCAAAATGTATGACTTCTTGTTCTTGACCTGACTCTGATATATCTTTGAACACCATATTCTGCTTTGAATACTCAGAGAACAACCTGTCTAAAGCGTGCTTCTGGCGAATAAAGTTGTGTATTGCGCAACATTTATCTTTGCCTACTAAGAGGATAATTGGTGATCAATTTCAAAATAGGAAATCTTGCCTTTAAAACTCCAATACAACGTTCAATAATGTTACGGTATGAGGAGTGTTGATAATTGAACAATTCTTCCTTCCCACGTAGTCTTCCCCGTCTAACAATCACGTAGATGATATCTTTGACCTCGATAAGAGGCAAGAAATCCAGGCATGTTTGGGTAGCCAGAATCAACAAGGAAATATTGATCAGCCAAAAAAATAAAATAAAACTCATATAGTGTAACACTGTAAATATATTCACAATAAATATTTGAAGTACAAGAATATACCTCACCGTGGCATTGGAAAGTTATTCGATCTTCTTGTGAATGCGTCAACGAATATTTGCGAATCATTAGCAGTGCCTTTCCACCCAAAATACACAAAAGTGAATTTCGTATCGAAATCACATGTTGACATCACATTTTGTATTACATTTGTTTTCCTTCCACGAAAAGATGTTTGTCTCGATTCGAGTGTCCAAACTGCAACATATGTACCATCTATTGTACCTATACAATCCTTAAAGAAAAGATATTTGTGAAAAATTCGCTCATGCACAACATCTTGATTTGTAGGCTGGATTATCTCGGTGCCAAACAAACAGACAACCATTATCACTCATTTAAACCATTTGTGTATCGTATTGTTAGAATGCTGAAGCCTATCACCAATAATACTATATCGGGTTGTGTGCCCTATAAACAGCCCTTATCACTCGTTTAACCCATTTGTGTATTGTGTTGTTCGAATGCTGAAACCTATCGCCAATAATACTATATCGGGTAGTGTGCCCTACAATCATCAGAAACATAGCAACACCCTCCTCGACACTCACTTTTTTTCCACTTTCCAACAACCCTCCGTGTTTCAAAATATCACAAAAATTCATGAACACGTGTTTTTGCATACGAAAATTGAGATAGCATACGTCTGGATGTCCATTTAGAATTTCTGGCACGTACATTTTTCCCGTAAGCAATGATGTCCTACAAGGTATCCTGCCGAAGGTACTTCCTTTGTGAAGATCAATCATATTATACATCACTAAATTGTCAAAGTCTGCGTCAAACTCATTCGTCATTAACAAATCATCATCACTCGAATCTTCATCAATGAAATCATCAACATTCACATTATCATCCATACCGTAAACAAAATATACCCACATTAATTATCATAAGTCATAACAACCAACATTGCGAACTGAAAAGAAAAAATTAACATCAGTTCTATGACCAACAACATCACTAAATTCATACATGAAAACAGGACATCACCATGAAAGTTCACAAATTGATACTAGGCGTTGTGAAAAAAAAAATAGTAGTTTAACCATGCACATCACAAATGAAAACAACAAGATATTAGAAAAATTAAAACAACAATCATATCAAAGTAGTTCCAAGATAGGTCATCTCCTTGCTTCTAGCATCTTCACAAACGACACCCTAAAAGTGGGATCCTTAAAAGCCTGTATTATTTTCATATAAACCTCTTTGGACACCCCTTCCATATTATTTAAGATGTCCATGCGTATGACACTGGAATACAGATTATGACTACTAACTCGCTATCCGATTGACTACATGATTTTCCTTGTATCTTTGCAAACTTTTCTTTGAAGTAAAGTGTTCTAATTTCCTCATACTAACTGTAGATGACCACTGTGTTATGAAAGCCTCAAGTTTATCGTTTTTACTGATCTTAGGTTCTTTACGTCGACGTTCACCCGACGTACCAATTTCCTCACGCCGACGAGTATTTGAAACTTCATCCACTTCATCATCATTTTCCATACGTACATGCACTCCCCTGTTCAAGAAGTCATCTTCTAGATGCCTTTCTTCCTCTGATGTGTTTGAAAGCTGAGTAGAGGCATTGCCTAAGCCNCAAAAGAATGCCCATTAGAAAAGAGGTAGAATTGAATATCTAAAAAAATAAAGACGACAATATTATTTAATAAAGAAATATACCCTGTAAAAGTGTTGCCAAACGTCCTCTACAGCATTAACTTTGTTGGTATTTGGATTCCATGTGACCCCTGTATGTGCCAACAGTTCGGAGAACATACGGTGAATCTTACGTAAGCGGTTCCACTTTTCCTTTAATCTATCTATCCCGTAATCCACTTTTGTTGAAACAACCATTGTTTCATTGATTCTGCCTCATTCGTCTCTTATGAAAGTAGAACATTGCAATGCATTTGATTTCACTATCTCGTAAAGAATTTCAATAAGAGTAAGTTCATTCTCATCCGACCATGACATTGGTTTCTTATTCCTAATTCGGTGACCACCTATGTTCTATATTCAATAAAAATCAAAATATCACGAAATGTATAAATCATTACTCTTTTTGTAACAAGGATCCTAATATAAGTACAATTATGTAAATGGAAGAAGTGAACAAAGTTTTGAGAGTTAATTTGTATGCCTAAAAATAGGTACATTTGATATTTCTGCACTGATTTTCTTTTATACATCGTTACTTTTGCATATTTTTCGTTCTCTAGGGAATTGGAAATGCATTTGTCCTAATAGATTTCTGAAGTTGCTGACCACAATCAAATAGTCCATTTAGCATTTACTACTACCTATTTAACAAAAAGAACACATTTAGTAAACCATTGGACCCTTTTCTAATGTGTAAATTATGTAATTGGCAAATCAAAATTTAGAAATCTATAAACTTATTTCAAATACGTCACTATGAATACAACATGTCTTCAGCAGGTTGAGTGAATTGTACATCAAACACTAGTGCTCAGCTCCTAGAAGAGAGTATTATTTCAAGCTAGGACTGGGAAAAATAAGTGCACTGCATCTTAAAATCAAGATAGATCAAAGAGTCATTGATTCACTAAGACAGCTTAAACCATTCACCTTACAAGCTAACCCGAGTAATAACTAATTGGTTCTGCAAAAATTCTAATTATGTTAAAAGGGAGCAGTTCATATGTATACAATAGGGCATTTGTCTCCATAGATAATAGATAGACCAAATTATCGATCAAATTTGCTAAAACCACACACAAAAATTCTTACACATGCATTGAGAGAATCCAAAATTGCAGAGCCATTTCAGCATTCAGTTTTCCTTCACCAAACAGCAAGAATAGCCAACAAACGGCACCCATACCTAACCTGCAATTCTACTTGCACCACCAGCTACCTTTCCCATGCAACATCAAATGACCCCGATAATTATCTAACCCGCCTCAGTTTTTACACCCAACAAATAAAAAAACAGAGATGAAACCTAACCCAACAAAAACAAAGATTATCACATTCAAACATTTATTGAAACAGCCCGTAGAGAATCTGTCGATTTAGGAAGACGGTCGCAAAACCTTGATCTGAAGATTGCGCGGCTTCGATTTGGTAATAGGAGCTCAATAGGAATTTCGGGGTTATGGGTTTGTGAGAGAGGGTTTGTAAGAGACGAACATTGAGGGAGAGGGGGCGAGAGAAAAAGAAAGGAAGTGAAAATTGAGAGGAAATACCGTTTCCCGTGTTTTGGAATTAAACAAGGTTTCT